AGTTTGAACGCACATTTCAAGACGAACCTTCCATAGTTTCCTGTTTTTCTATGAGGAATATTAGTGCAGCACAATCTGTTGAGATGGATGCAAAGCCTCTGTTAGTTTAATACCCACCAGATATAGTTCCATGGAACAACTGCCACAAGCATTGCGACCTTATACTCACCAAGTATAACGAAAAGGATTCATCAGGCAGGAATTCTTTGAGCTTCAAACCAGGTACCACGAGTACGCCAATTTTTATACAGACGGGACAAAAAGACTCGGTAGTAGGCTATGGTGGGATCACTGGTAAATCAGGTAAAAAGAAACATTAAAAAGCCACTATACTAACAACAGAGCTTTATGGTTTGCTGCTGGCTGTTGGTTACATAATAAAAAAACGGCTTCCTCACGCTGTAATATACACCGAATCCTTGAGCTCTCTAAAGGCAGTCACATCAATGAACGGTGTAAAAAAACCGACGTGTTTCTGAGTTAAAGAACAAGATTATCCTGGCTGCAAATAAAAATCTTGACATAATCCTATGCTGGGTTCCTCGCTATGTTGGCATTCCTTTAAATGAAGCGGCTGATTGCGCAGCTAGCTCCGCTAATGATAGAGAAATTGACACACACCAAATACCATACAAAGATTACCACAACCCTCTTAAACGTTGCATCAAAGCAAAGTGGCAGCTGCAGTGGAACAATGAAACCGGCAACAAACTACATGCAATCTAACCTGTTCTAAGCGAGTGGGAGAGTGCCCGACATCGGGAGCGCTTTTATGAAGTCATACTGCGTAGGTTACGAATCGGTCATACCCGTCTCACACATGAACACCATTTGAGCGGGGAGGATGCCCCTAAATGTGTACGTTAAGTTTCCTCTTGAAGTATTATGCACATATTCATCGAATGCCCTATGTAGGACGAATGCCGTTATAAACACTTTTCACTGCTTTATAAAAAGCAGATTCCACTACACCTTGCCCTACTACTAGATGATGAACCGCTCATTCCATACAGTTGTGTTTTTAATTTCCTCACAGATATCGGCCGTCTACACCGACTGTGATTTAACTTTCTATCCTAGACGCATTGTCAGATTGTTTACACGTATAAGCATTCATGTTCATAGTTTTATCACATATTTCGCTACTACAGCTCTTTCCTCTTCTTAAATTCGAATTGCAATAGTCTAAACTTAGCGCATTATAGCCTTAGATGCTGATGCGCCATAAACCCCCAACGAATCAATCAAACTGGGATGATATCGCGAAGCTTGTCAGCCCTGGTGCTGAACTCGGAGCTGGCCGATACCAGAGTCGAATCTTCGGTTAGACGGTGGTTGTTTCGCCCCGCTCAATGTTTGTTGCTTGAGCGAAAATTCTTCAACGGTCGTCGGGGGGTTGCGATAAAGTCCGCCGAAGATTTCGCACTTCACGCCTTTTATGAGTAAGCGCAAGTTTATGTCGTCGGTGGTTTGCAGGTCGGCTCGTGCACTTGGGCATAGTACATCTTCAACGAAGCTGATTACGCTTTCGTTGGGGGCCTGAATCCGTGCTTGAAGCAGATCCTCCGCCCACTGCTCTAAGTGTTGGCTCGTAAGGGTTCGCTTCAACTCGGCCACGCAGATGTCCCACGACGTGAACGAAGCCTCGTGATTGTCGAAACAGTGCCTCGCTGTACTTTCGAGCGAAAAGTAGAGGTTCTGTAGGTTATGCTTGGCAGTCCAACCGTTGTGGCGTGCCACGCGCTCGTAGTGTTGGATCCAATCCTCGACGTCCTCGTGGATCTCGCCGTGGGAGGGCGTTGGCGTACGAGAGTCGACGGGCCGGTAAACGACGGACGGGGCAGCGGCGGGAGTCTCAATTTGCAGGCCCGGGAAGTCATAGTTGTTTTCGTCGACTTCTTCCACTGGGGGTTCAGTAGAAGTCTGAATTCCGGGGCTTATATTTGATGCGGTGGCTTCCTTGGGTCTCGGTTGTCTCCATGGACGGTCTTCTTAAGCAGGGGATAGGCTTGCGCTGCGATGCCTCGGAGGGGTACGCTTCGTGGGCCGTGGTATCCCGCACCTCCACCAGAAATGTCTCGGAGTAAGGCGAAGAGGCGATAAATAATGAACTGAAAAGAATGGCTTAATCGGCGATATTGTGCCAAACAAAATAAAAAAATGACCGTCGAGACAGCAGAAAAACGGGCGCCGATGCAGCGGCGCAATAGGAAGCGAGAGCGAGACTTACTCTACAAGGTCATAGGGAGCTCCTTATCTAGTGTGTGTCGGCATCGCAAAATTTCGGTCCAGAAGATTCGAGCACCGGGCGTTCGGGTTGAGAATGAACAGGCACTTTTGAGAACAAGACACTAGGACGAAATGATAATAATACTGCCTTTATTTTCCATCCGGGAGATGTGGGAAGTTGGGGAACAAAAGCTGGATAAATCAGCTTGACGACCTCCCCAGAAATTATACAATGTAGAAAACAAAAACAAAAAGGCATACAGTACAGCACATCGCGCAGAAACACTCTGTATAAATCATACCAACAAGCTTTTTTTTATGAGATTGGCTATAAACATTTTACAACCATAACACTTTGATGCTCATAACTTCATACTCGTGTTAGAAAAGAAAAACTTCAAATCTTTTTTGATGTAGATTCTAGCTGTATGTCGCAATTATTACTGAAATTAGGCAATTCTGGGAGCTTGCGTTGCATCATTGGCTCACCATAACTCGTTTTACACGAATAAATCTTCCATATGTCATTGCTACGTGTGGAATATGTGATTGTTCTTTTACATAAACAAGCTAACTGAGTAAGAACATTCATGTTGTGTTTTGCTTCCTGTCTATAGATTATACTTAAACGAAATGAATACATGTTATGAATGTTCATTACGCCATGTGTTTGAAAAGTCGGTGCAGAAGGGTTATCACACGGAACGTTATCTATATTTCTTAGCATTTTCTTTTGCAGTAAAAAACATTCTGCAAATTTTGGAGGGTCGTGTTTCCCCCTACTAGATGAAGTAATTTATATGCGAATAAAATAATGTGTTATGTACGAGAAGTTTAACTCTAGTAGGTAAAATGTGGCGATGAATGTAAGTTAAACCTATGATACTCGATAATTTCGAGACGGCGTAATTTGTATGTTCTTCCCAAGTCATGCGCTCCGTGAAGACTACGCGAAGGGTTTTGAAGGTGCTGACTAATCTTATTTTCAAATCAGACAATTTAATATCTTCATAAACGCGTATAATTTTGTTTTTTGGGTGAAATAGGACAGCTTTAGTTTTACTTGTATTTATTTTTAGCGCGTTGCTCAGAGTCCATATTTCCTATTTTACAAGGTTAGCATTTGCTCGGGACATTTTGTTCAGAGGGACATTTTTCGGAAAACAACAATGTAGTATCATCTGCAAAAATAACAAATTTTGCGACGTTATTGATGTTTATACTATATCGTTCAAGTATATGTCAAATAAACACGGACCCAGGATACTCCCTTGTGGTACACCTTATAAAATTGGTTTTATATCGGAGGAGTGACCATTTCTTTCGACTACTTAGATACGATGTTAAGAGCGTTAAAGCGTTTCGTTGGAAACCATAAATTTCCAGCTTTTTTAATAGCAAGTCATGATTCAAAAAATTGAAGGCTTTTGTAAAATCAACTAAAATTGCAAGTGATAATGTTTTGTTTTCAAAACAATTTAGGATGAATTCTTTCTGTTCTTTAAGGGCGAGTTCTGTAGACCGATGTTTCCTGAAACCGTATTGCGTGTCATTCAATATAGAATGCTTATCGCAGAAATTGGACATTCTAGATAAAATAATATTTTCCAGTCCATTCGCAAAAACAGGCAATATTGATATAGGCCGATAGTTCCCCATATCGTTTTTGTTCTCTTTTTTACACAAGACGGTGACTCTTGCTGTTTGCATTCGTTTAGGAAAGACGCCTTCTAGTAGGCAAAGGTTAAAAGTGTAAGCTAGATATGGCGATACCAAATTTAAAACATACTTTACGGGCATAATTTTGATACCGTCTGCATCGCAGCTTGCAGTGTTATATAGTCCTAGAAATACAGATTTCACTTCAGTTTCTATTGCCGGGCTTAGAAATAAAGACTTACTATATGCTCCTGTCATTTAAATTAAAAATTAACTGTCAAAATTACCTCTGTCGAGGTTGACAAAGAAGTTATTAAATTCATTAGCTAAGCAGCTTTCACTCAATTCTTGATTGTTCAGACAAATTTTCGCGATTGGTTTTGGTTTACAAGAGCGATTCACTATTGTGTTCTATGTTCTCCCCATTACATCTGCCTTATTTGCGCACTTGGAAAAAATGTCGCCAAAATAGTTTGCGTTTGCATTTCTAATCTCTTCTGTTAGTTTGTTGCAATATTGTTTGAACGTTTTAAGCAAATCACGATCACGCGTTTTTAAAAATCTTTTTATATAATTTATAGACCTTTTCTGTGTACTCTCGTCCCCCGCCACCTAATAGGCGTATCCGGTATGGGCGACGAAAAAATAATCCAACGTTTCAACCTGCAAATAGTAAAAAAATAAAGGGGAGGCAAAACGAGAAAGTGCGACGGTTACGCTTATATCCTAAATGCCTTCTTTTGGCGTGGCAAAGGTAAAACAATGTTTTCGCCCATACTGGAAGTGACGTCAATTCAAGATGGCGGCGCACTTGCAGAAAAGGACTATATTTTACTTGAATTTTTTGTCCAGCAACTCTGGGGTAATCCAAGGTTTCAAAATTTCTTTAAAAAAAAGTTACGCCCGGAGTAAAAATAAACGCGAATCTTATAGAATTCCGTGATTGAGTGCTGCTTGTTCCACCCAAAGGTTTTTTTTAATCAAATATAAAAAACAGATAATGGTCACTGTATGCAAATATGTAGACTTGAATACTGATTTAAAAACGTCGCATTGCGACTTGTTAAACTCATCATGGAATTCGCCTGCAGCTTTCTCTGACTATCCTCATCATGGCTGTTGTCGGTGCCCTTGCTGGCGTGCTCGGAGGCTACGGGAACCACGGACGCTACGAAGCTACCGAGGATACCGAGGCTACGGCCGCCAGGGCGGCTAGGGCGGCTAGGGCGGCTAGGGCGGCTACGGCGGCTACGGCGGCTACGGCGGCCACTGCGGCCACGGCGGCCACGGTGGCTACGAAGGCTACGCCGGCTACGAAGGCTACGCCGGCTACGAAGGCTACGGCGGCCACGGCGGCTACGGCGGCCACTGCGGCCACGGCGGCTACGCCGGCTACGAAGGCTACGCCGGCTACGAAGGCAACGGCGGCAACGGCGGCAACGGCGGCTACGGCGGCTAGGGCTCCTAGGGCGGCCAGGGCGGCTACGGTGGCTACGGCGGCTACAGCGGCCACGGCGGCCACGGCGGCTACGAAGGCTACGAAGGCTACGCCTGCTACGAAGGCTACGCCGGCTACGAAGGCTACGGCGGCTACGAAGGCTACGGCGGCTACGGCGGCTAGGGCTCCTAGGGCGGGGAGGGCGGCTACGGCGGCCACGGCGGCCACGGCGGCAACGGCGGCAACGGCGGCCACTGCGGCCACGGCGGCCACGGCAGCCACGGCGGCCACGGCGGCCACGGCGGCCACGGCGGCCACGGCGGCTACGGCGGCCACGGCGGCTACGCCGGCTAACCGTGGCTACGGCGACTACGGCGGCTACGGCGGCTACGGCGGCTACCGTGGCCACAGCGGCTACGGGCGCGGATAAGTCATGACTACTGTAAAGAGGATACGGCGGGCTCGGATCCTACGGCAGACATGGAAGCTTCTACGGTTGAAATCCAGATGAAAACGCGAGAATAAATAACGTTTCCGTTTCTAACATTGCTTGTCATCTCATTTTACTCACCACTACAGTTCTAGAGTTTACCGATACGGCCGTGTTCCGGTTTCAACGAGCAGATTGCCTTATGAAACTGGCAAATCGGTCTTAGGCTACGCACTCAACTAAATACGATGTAACTATTTTTAGTTCATAACCCCGTGAAAATATCCCTGCACTTTTTCAGCTCTCGACAGTATCATCACAGTGACTTTTGATCTAACTCGGTGCCCTTTTTATGGATGCAACTTAACCCAAATCAGACGGCTTGAGCGACGTATATGGGATATCCATAGGATGTTCTAACATAACTTCGACCTCCCAAAAGACACGTGCTTTAGGAGAATGATTCAGAATGACCTTTTACCCCGGTTGTTTGGCGCCACCTATTGGTAACCTGTGGGATAGTATCCATAAAGTAAATGGTATATATCGAGCATTCTCTGTTATTCTCCTAACAAAAAATGGGCTATGCCCAGAAAGCCTAATTGAGCAGGCAGACATCTTTGAAGAGTATTTTGAATTCGTATCGAGTTCGGAGCACTATTCAGCTACTTTCCATTATAACAAGGTGCAGGCTGAAAAAAAGGCCATCAAAACAACAGGAGGCGAAAGAGAGCCATATAACACCGCTTTCACACTGCTTGAACTTGAAACGGTTCTTCCTAATTCTAAGCCTTCAGCAGCGTGGCCAGATGGCATTAAAGGGAAGCTACGGAGCTTCTTGGAAAAAATGAGTTAGAAGTGAATTCTAGTGTATTTTTACCCCGTGAACCCGAATACCCAAACCATTTGCTGCGTAAGTATTGTTAAACGCGAGAAAAACGCGAAAGACGGTCGCTGTCCGTGACGTCATCGACGGCTCTTTTGGCTGCCCAAGGCGGGACTTCAGCCCTATTTTGAAATTGCTCTTCTGGCTCTCCGGCGCGTCGCATTGAAATATAATTTTGATATCTATTATTCTAAAGGCCGAATGAACGCAATTCAAGCGTTTTTTCTCAAATGTAGAAGTGCCCCATCTTCCCTTTAACTACATGCTTAAGCAGCTCCACCCCTCTACCTTGGAGATTGTTCTATTTCTTTTTAACCGTGCATTGCAACGAGGTATAGGGCCTTAGAGTGATAAACTGGCAGCTGAAAGTGGCCCCCAATTGGCCGCCGCCATGTTGTACAATTTTGACCACTAGACACGTGACCAGGCCCAACTCTATGACGTAACGAGACCAAATCTCTGGCGTCAACGATTCAAATTCAAATTCAAATTCGTTTATTTTTGCCACAAACGGTACATTTGTGACAGGGGCGCTGGAAAAAAAGCTGCAGGTCTGCAGCTTGACGAGTCCCAGCACCCCAGAACAAGGTAAGAGCGGCACCGGCACACACAGACAAAAAAGAACGAATATGCGCACACATACATAGGCATACACATATACAGAGGATAAACACGAGAAAAACATAAAGAATTCAACTTCGCAATCAACAGTATACAAAAAAGTGGTGGTTACTTATTATAAAGCTTCTTGAATGGAATAATGACTAACGGAGTGCATTTCAATATCACGGGAAAACAGGGTGTTTAATAAAAGTGGTAACTGGTGCCGATATCTTTGTAGACCAAAATTTGTCCTTGAAAAGGGAATACGCCAGGGGGGCCTACCTCGCGATGGATATACAGACTCGTTTGCTTCTAGATTACCAAGATCTAAAGAAATAACATTATTTTCTCTTACGGATCGTTGATAATTAGCTATCAGTCTATGTGCATACAAATTGGTTATATCAATGACTTTATGTTTTTCAAAAAGAGGAAGGGAATGATAGTCACGCGGAACATTTTCGATTATCCTGAGTGCCTTTTTCTGTAATAGGCGTAGTTTGTTAATGTTGCCCTTTGTAGTCGAACCCCATACCAGGTGGGAGTAGCAGAGCACAGGGTAAAACAGAGCATTGTAAAATAGTTTTTTAATATTTACCGGAAGTATGTGCCTGAATTTATTCAGTATTCCGACAACTTTGCATAGCTTTTTATGAATATAGGCAACATGATTATTCCAGGACATGTGACAAGAAAATATTACTCCCAACGTCTTTGTACTATCGACGCACTCTATCGCACAATCCCCCAAAAACAAATGGCGCGACAACCTGATGCGTGGTCCTGGACACTGAAATAAAACTGCCTTTGTTTTGGATGTGTTAATAACAAGGGAATTCATAACTACCCACGATTTTCATTTATTTAAAAAAATAATTCGCTTTGAAAGTGAGCACCCCTTCCGTAGAATCAGAAAAAAATATGCTGGTATCATCCGCGTATATAATAAATTTAGCAGACGTTTCAATATTTACAATATCATTAACATAAGTGATAAACAATAATGGGCCTAGAATACTTCCCTGAGGGACCCCGGAACTAATGCGTTGCATAGAAGATCTGTTATTCTTAATTTGAACGTATTGGGAACGGTACTGTAAATAGGACGAAATGAGTGCTAATGGAACTCCTCGAATACCATAACAATCTAATTTATCAAGAAGAGTTCTGTGATTTATCCGGTCAAATGCTTTGCTGAAGTCTACAAAGATCCCCAACGTTAAAAGTTTACTCTCGAAATTTTCTAATATTGTCTCTTTTTGTACTAATAAAGCAGTTTCTGTAGACCTACACCTTCTGAAACCGAATTGCGAGTCCGTCAACACAGAATATTTTTCAAAAAAGGTTATTAGTCGAGAATATATTATCTTTTCTATTGGTTTCGAAAATACAGGAAGAATCGATATGGGGCGATAATTACTCATGTCAATTTTATTCCCGCCCTTATAGAGGACAGAAACTTTAGCCACTTGCATGTTTTTAGGAACTAGATGATAATATGAGATTATACAAATGAGTTATGCATGGTAATATCAAATCTAGTACAAATTTAACAGGTTTGATTAAGAGGTCATTACAATCATGACTACGCCTATTTTTCATATTCATAAACACCGAGGATACTTCTGCAGTATCTGTGGGATTCAAAAAAATAGTTTCGCTAGTGCGGGAGACGTTATCTTTGGCGTTACTATTGTAAGTGCTATTCCCGACACTCACAAAGTAACCATTGAATTTATTTGCAAGTTCACTGCCGGAAATAATTTCATTATTTATAGTCATGTTAACGATGGCTGTATCTTTAGATTGGCTACGCAGAAGAGAATGCAGTTGCTTCCAGACCATATCGGGCTGCCTTAAACAGGATGAGTAGAATTTAGCCGCATAATAAAGTTGTTTAGCTTGTCTTAATTGAGCATTAACAAAATTTCTGAACTTTTTGAATTCGCGTAATTTTTCTTCGTCTCGTGTTTTCACAAAAGAGTCATAAAGTATGTTTTTCTTTTTAATGAGTTTCAAAAGGTGACCATTTACCCATGGCTTCCTAGCTTTCTTGTTTCGACGGATGCATTTGATTGGAAATGAAGTGGAATAAGCATTTTTGAAAGTACTTATAAAAAAATCGTAGCACTCATCAGCATCTGTAGAATTAAACATAGGACTCCAGTCTATAGTGCTGATTGTTTCTCTAAATTCTTCCAGTGTCCTAGAACTTATGTCTTGAGACATTGTTGAAAAGTTTGAAACTGCGCTATCTGACATATTCTTATTGATAAACATGATTATTGGAAGATGATCGCTGATCCCATTACTAAGCACACCAGCACTAATATTATTTTCATCATAAGATGGCAGCGCCCAGTGCGTGTCGGAAGCGTTGTGGGTGTTGATCGGAGTGTGTGGATTTCATCTGCGGAATTTGGTTTTTCAGGGTTTTGTATGCTCTCCCGCGTAGAAATAACGTGAAGTACGAGGGAATGAGGCTTTTCTTTTTTATTTCAGTCAGGGTAAGTTAGATTCGGTCCCGTGCTTCTCGTACGGGCTCGGATCACTACCGACCGGTGCTGCTTCGGACATCGCTTGGTCGTTCGAGTTTAATTAAAATATCCGCACTCGTTAACCATGGGAGCTCCTCGATAATCGCTGTGTCTAAGGATACGTCGAACCCATCCGGAACGCGGAGTCTAAAGGTATATAGGACGTAACCAGAACGCGGAGTTCTAACGGTACGGCGGACGTGCCCGGGCAATTTTCTTAGCTCGACGGTCAAGATTCGCATTTGAGACACCAAAAGAAGTGTTAAAATCACCGAACTGCTCGATTCTGAGCTAACTACGGACCACGTCACTACGTGATCCGTAGTGACATGCAAAAGACTGACAGAGGTCACTCCGGGCAAACGGCGGCTCCCGGTCGCCTGCAAAGTGCCTTCTGTAAAGGGGCGACAGTCGTGTAAGCAGTACTGTACCAGCTTCTCTTATAGTCTGTTGTTTTCGAGCAGCTTCCCGATCACTAAACCCCGCAAACGCGTGCCGAACTTTCAAAAGCTGTCTGCCCACCTGGAAAACCTTGAACTCACAGGGAATTTCGGATCATCTGGGAAAGTCAGAATCATTCAAAAAGTGGGCTAAATAAGGGAAGACGACTAGTGAAAGCGGCATGGCGGTCAATTGCTCGTCGGCCCGGCCATGCTGAATGACATTGCCGAAACGTCATCCTTCGACTCAAAAACTCAAGGAATTTGATCAAAACAGTCAGGAAAAGCTTGGAAAAGCCAGGGAATTTGAAATCAGTAGTTTGCTAGACACAATGTTTGATTTTCTTGACACTCCGTGTTTTTACACATGACAGGCACACGCCCGTGTATCACACGGCGGCCAGGACAAGCGGCTGCCAACCACTTATGCAAGGTCGATAAGACGCAAGCGTGGAACGCTTTTGGACTGCTGCAAATACACCAGCGGGAGCGTCCGGCCGCAGTCCGACTGCCCACGCTAGGACACCCGACACAAACTCCACGTCCTGGGTACGTCTGACGTATCTTTAGATTTTGCATCCTAGGTACGTCAGACATATCTTTAGACACAGCGCCTGATAATAGTAGTGAATAGGGTCACGTTCAGTGCGCAAATCACTTTATTACACTCGGAGAGCAGAATTCCATTCCCGTTGCGCAGGTAGTTCCCCAGCTAGGCATGCACTTGAAGACTATGTTTCACTCTTTTATAAAGCAAGCTCTGCGGGACCCCTCCGCCCTTGTGCATCCATCCGCAAGTCGTGTCGCCTTTTCTCACGTAACTCCCGCAGGTCCAGCGAGTTGCCGAGCCGCTGTAGCCCCGGCGTCGCTCGGTCCAAACGAGAAGATGCTCACGTTGGTCGTCCGACAGCACACTGGAGGGACGCGAAGCTCGCAGCCTCCTTGGTGCATGCAAGACGAGGCTGAGCAGACCTCCAAGCTCTTCTGACACACATGTGCACTCCTATGAGACAGGTGTCGCACCCCGATTTCTAGAGATGTGGGCGCACTAGCAGTCTTGTTGGTCCTCGGAATTCGTCGAGGGGTGCCAGAAAGCAGAATTCCATCCTTGTTGCGCAGGTAGTTCCCCAGCTAGTCACTTCCTTGAAGACGACGTCGCACTCTCTCTGGAAGCAAGCTTCGGGATGCTCTTGTGCACCCATTCGCAGGTTTTGTCGCCTTTGCTCACATAGCTCCCGCAGGCGGCAGGGCAGCGAGTTCGACACATGAGCCCTATTCGTCCCCCAATTGAGAGTCATATGAACTCTACAAACCAACCTTGCCATGTTGCTTGTCCATCTCTGGCTCCATTCTTGGCACTCTTTGCTCGTTAAGCCATCTTCTCTAGTGATTATGTTACATGGAGCCTGCAGAGCTGTTTTGGGTGCAGTTTTCACGACAGAGCTGACACTTGAGTGAAAATGTCTTGGTGCTGCAGTGGATCCGTGACCCTTATCAATGCCCGCGAAAGATTACCAACTTCGTCAAGAACTGTCGGATGGTGCGACCTCTTTCTGCGGCACTCTGCTGACGGCAGATGTGGTGGATTTGCAGCTTGAAGAAGTATTCCAGCATTGTCTTGACCATAATTGCGCAGTGGGTCTGGTTGTCGATTGTCTGTGCCAGGAAGAGGTGGTCAAAGCTCTTAAACAGTGGGGTCATGAAGATGATGGCCATTGCCTCTGCCTGCAGTCTTTGTAGCCAGTTTCGACCTCCTTTGGCCGCCTTGTCAAAGTGCCTGCGAAGCACCTTCTCCGCTATTTTGCACAAGCCCAGGATGTCCTGTGAGGGGCTGTGGAGCCCACCAGCATCCTTGATCAGTATAAGGTCGCACTTTGCTCTTGTAAGAAGCGCGATCTTAGAGCACTCTGGGCACTTGTTCCTTTTTGCAAAGTTGACTGTTACGTTTCCAGCAATGTACTCTACAACAGATTCGGCGAACTCTGAAAGCGGCTTGTAGGAGACAGTACTGTTGGCCTCTTCGCCTCTTGCATCCTCAGCCCTTCTCTGATCTTGTTGGTACCGCGCCGACGAGCTTACGAGAAGCGTCTCGGTGCCGTCGACCTGGCAGTTGCCGCAAGTTGAAGGCAGGACGTTGGCGAGCAAGCACTTTCTGTATGCTGACCGAAACTCTAGCGTTGTGGGGTTGTTGTTGTTACCCGTCCTGTTGCGTACAGTGGCAAAAAACAGCTCAAGGTGGTCCTGACTGAGCTTTCGCCTCAACAGGCACCTGAGTGGCGGACTGAGGCTCCAGACCAGGTCTTCTGCCAGACCTTTGATGGAATCAAGGACAAGTAGGAAACCGAGGACTGGAGTCTTCTTTGCCCCTTGGCTCAACGGCTTGCCCGTTACGTCTTTCAGGGCTCAAAGGTAGCGTGAAGCTTGCTCAATCCTTTCCAAAATGGTAACTTGGTTGCTGGCACGAATGGAACATTTGCTTCCACGACCAAGTGGATGACATGAGTTCGTCAGGTCAAATATATCATCGACTGCTGCGGCAAACTTGGTAGTCGCCTCAGCACCCTCGAAGCCTTGGATACCCTTTTCCTTGCAAAACAGCAAGGCGCAGCTGACGGACCGGCTCAAGGTTTGGGCTGCCAGTGACACCTTCATCTTCTGTCTCTCAAAGTCAATGTGCTGCTTTCGGAGCTTGTTGGCTGCATGAAGGCCTTCTTGCTGCTGCAGGTTGTCCAAGGCCGCAAGGTACCGCCAGGCCACGACCTTACCTGCCCCATCTCTGATGCACCCTTTCTCGGCCAGCAGGTTCCGCATGAGCTTTAGCATATGGCAGGCGTCCACGACGGCGTGGACCCTGCTGGTGGGGTCCGATGGATGCGTGAACCAGCTCTTCATCGGCTCAGCAAAGCGCACTCCGAGCGCTGTGAGCATGGTAATATTACAGTTTGTCCTGTCACAGGTCACACTTATACACTTTGCTACAGCATCCTTCAGTTTAAAGGGGCGGTGCAACGATTTAATGATTAAAAGAATCTGCATCTCGTCATTTTTACGTTGTTTATCGTGTCGCGGAGGATAGAGAAAACACCTCTTTCATTAAAAATGTCGCGATTCCGCCGCATAATCGCAAAGCAAAAGCCGAGCTTTTTCCCCCACCTGCAGCCCCAAGTGACAGCCGAAGGAACTACGGCGAAAAGATTACGTGACCTCGCTCGGCTCTAAGCTGCAGCATAACGCCCGCTAATGTCAGCAGAGAGAGGGAGAGGAAGCGTCCTCCGAGAGAGCACACGGGAACCTACACGGCACTCCGAGTGACGTTACTAGGAGGGGGACCAGGTGTGACCCTCAAGGCTGGGAGTGAGTTGACGGGTGCCCGAAATGCGAATCTTTATCTTTTTTTTTTTACGCAACAACTAGGACACGCAGGCGAAATCGGTTTTCGGTTCTTTAGCTCAGAAGTGTCAGAGGGCAACTTCCAGAAATCTTTGACCGAAGTCCGAAAATAGTTGCACCCCCCCTTTAATGATGTACTCCCGTACCAGGTTGGCGCGAGCGTTCCCGTCTAGACCATCGATGAGGGCGTAACCCAGGGGGATCGTTTCGGTTGACTGCCACCGCCAAAAATACAAGTGCGTGCTTTGCAAAGGTGACGCAGTCGTTACGGATGATACCGTGACCCAGGTCACAGCACCCGACGACTTCTTTGCCATCCCAGTCTGTTTGTATTTTTATTCCCATCTCATCGACCATCAGGCTGACGAAAAGAGGTCCCTTCTCGGCTTCCTGTGCAACTTTTTCAAACGACTGCTGGGAGAATCCTGGTCGTGCATCAACCACCGCTGCCCATTTCCGCAGAGTGCTTGGGTGTGGTAGCTTGACGTGCTTTCGCAGAAAGCTGTATGTCTTTGCCGAGTAAAAATGGAGTGTGAGGGCAAACTTGGGCACATATTCTGTACATCCGTTTTTGTTGTGCCTGACTCTTTTTAAGACGAGGTTGCGCATTGTGTTGGTGAATGCATTGTCAAGTATGTCGACTGCTGGCTTAGGAAGTCGTGTCCTTAGTTCACGGAGCAGCGTGTTCAGCTTCCTAATCCTGGCCGTCTTTCGATTGATCTTCTTTGCCTCTTTCAATCGCTCGTGTTTACGGTGGAATGGAGTGCATAACTCGCTCTAAACAGCTGTCTTCTTGCATGCATGGTGAGCTTTATACAGAGCACTCACCCCGCATAACTTTGTGGCTTCCGTCGGGTTGAAATCTTTTCGACCGATTTGGTGAAGCAAGATCTTCCTCCGAGGTTCATTTTCCGTTCCAAAGAGAACACTGAATATCTTTCCGGCCGACTTTTCTACAGGCCAACGCTACAGGCGCAGCAGCCCGCCAGCTGCGGCGCAGCAACATCTTGGGAAATTCATGGTGACCGGAAGTCCAAAACCGAAAGCCAGATGTCACGTGACGACCGGTCAATAGTGTGCACGGCGGCTAGTTCAAAGAATGGCGCCACTTTTCCCAGGATAGAGGGGCTTTAGTGCCGCCTAGAGTTCCTGTATAGGCTCCCTACGGGAGCTAGAGTTGCGCGTTCATCTCCGAAGCGCCGCCTTTCCTGCACGGCATGTTGAACCCACTCGTCACGTGGTTGAATTCGGCGAATAGCGGCGCCGCGCGTTCGAGGCGCGCGGCGTGCTCAACCTCATCCGCATTTCCACCTGCGAGTCCGCGGCACCGCTGCTGGCACGCATCGCGGAGAGGCCCGAGTCGCGCTTGGGGCAGCTTCTGTGCGTTTTGGGGGACGTCGCAGGCCCTGCACCGGCGATCACTCCCCTCCCACCATTGCACTCCGACCCCCATCCACTGACTGTCCACCTCCGAGTCGACGGGATGGGCCCTCAACGGAGGACGGCCGACGTCGTGGCCAAACAGCTGACGGAGGACCACATCGAGCGGCACCACCCCGGCTGGGCAAGGGTGTACACCGACGGCTCCGTGCGGCCCAGCGACGGCTCGTCGACGGCGGCTGTCTTTGTGGAGAGGGCAGACCTGGGCGTGGGCGAACGGTTCGCCTTCCACGCCACCAGCACCACCACGGAGCTGGCGGCGATCCTTCTGGCGCTGCGCCTGATCCACTACAAGAGCCGACGCCCGGACAGCTGGCTGCTGCTCTCCGACTCCCAGGCGGCCCTGTCTCAGCTGTACGGGCTCGAGGGGGCATGCCCCCTCGCTCGGGAGATCGCTGGTGAGGCTCTGCTTCTCGGCGGCCTCGGCCACCGCTTGGCGTTCCAGTGGGTCCCGAGCCACTGCGGGATTCCTGGCAACGAGCGCGCGGACGCCCTGGCGGACCGGGTCCATGACGCCGCCGAGTTCCGGACGTCGGACGTGGGCCCCTTCGCCGACGCCAAGCTTCTTATCGCACGGGAGGCCGCCGCAAACCACCCGGACGAGCGGTACGCGGCCGGGGACCGACCGGCGAAGCCCCCTCGGGGCACGGGCCGTCCAGCCGCCGCAGTCGTCCACAGGATCCGGACGGGGTGCGCCCTGACGCCGGCACGGATGCATCTCCTGCGCAACGAGGCCGACCCGGAATGCCCGACCTGCGGAGAATGGTCGGATCTCGACCACCTCCTCCTGACCTGCCCGGCACACGCTGACGCCCGGGCGGCCATGACAACATCCCTCGCCGCACTGGGGCTGCCCTGCAACACCACAGAACAAATACTGAGACCCAGGGGCGACCGGCGCGGCAAAGACCGTTCCTCCGGGCGCCCGCCGACTGCGGAGCGGGGCCCTGACGGCTGTGCTCAGTCGTGCCCTGGACGCTCGCTTTGGCGCGTACCTGCCGCGTGCTCGACGAACGCGCCCGGACTCCGGCGCGGGTGGACTAGAGTGGGACCTCCCACCACACGACGTGGTCGCCCCGGACGATTGCTTGATCGCCGGACACCGCGCCGTGCCAGCCTCCAGCGCTGGACCCCCAACTCCCCCCACCCCCCATCCCCGGCCACCCGGTATTCGATGCAACTAAATTAATCCCCCTCGCGCGTACTCCGACATGCCCGCCCCCCCTCCCCTTCTACAAATCTATTTCTATCTCCCCCCTCCACCCCCAACCTTTCTCCCCACACCCCCCTCCCCCCGAGAGCCAGTGACCAAGCGCCCGGTGCGCAACCACTATTGGCCCTCTCCTCCTCCCCCCCCCCCCCCCCCCCACCATCTTTCACAACGCTTAGAAGAAGAAGAAAGCAGAGGAACGTACGCCGGGGCGCGTGCAACGTCTACTTTCCCGCACGGCACTTGATCCGGCTGCTCACGTGATCGGATCTCGCGAATAGAGGCGCGGCGGCACGTGGAAAACAGACGCGCAACTCTGGCTCGTGCCGCCTAGAGTTCCTGTATAGGCTCCCTACCCGCTCATTCACACTGGAAGCGGATCCGCGTTCGCAAAGCGGTTGCGAACGCGGTTGTATAAAGATCCAGTGCAATTGCACGCGCACTCGATGACATCATGTGCGTGTGCAATTGCACTGGATCTTTATACAACCGCGTTCGCAACCGCTTTGCGAACGCGGATCCGCTTCCAGTGTGAATGAGCGGTACGGGAGCCAGTGTTGCGCGTTCACCCCCGGAGCGCCGGCTTTCCTGCACGGCGTGCGGAGTCTGCTTCTCACGTGACTGATTTCGGCGAATAGCGGCGCCGCGCGTTCGAGGCGCGCGGCGAGCTCAAAAGCAGGGGAACGTACGCCGGGGCGCGTGCAACGTCTACTTTCCTGCGCGGCACTTGATCCGGCTGCTCACGTGATCGAATCTCGCGAATAGAGGCGCGGCGGCGCGTGGAAAACAGACGCGCAACTCTGGCTCGTGCCGCTTAGAGTTCCTGTATAGGCTCCCTACGGGAGCCAGTGTTGCGCGTTCACCCCCGGAGCGCCGGCTTTCCTGCACGGCGTGCGGAGTCTGCTTCTCACGTGACTGAATTCGCCGAATAGCGGCGCCGCGCGTTCGAGGCGCGCGGCGTGCTCAAAAGCAGGGGGCAAGATGGCGGACGAGGCCCAGAAAGGAGCAGCCGCTCCCGCCCCGCCCCAGGACTCCCCCGTCGCGCACCACACGCGCCAGAGCCGCCGGTCGCCACCTGGAAAGAGTATCATCAGCTCGTCTTCACCAGGGATGATAATTTTAAGGCAGCTGGCGGCCGCCAGCCAGAAGAGTTTACTTGGACCCCCCCGGACACCGCGGACAAAGGACAAGCAGCTCCCGCCCCCCTGCCCAAGCACTCCGGGCCTGATCCCGATCGGCCCTATTTTTGTGTCCGAGCCGACATGGCATCTCGCTCCACCGTCCCCTGAACACCCCCCGACAACCACCGCCCGCCCAGGCCAACAGGGGGAGCACACGCCCCCCACCCCTTCTCCCGCGCCCCCGAGCACCCCCGAGGACAAGCGGCAAGAACCCCCGGGCCACGCCTCCCCCTCCGCCCCCCAGAGGGACTCGGAGGTAGAACCCCCCGCCGCCCTGGACAAGCAGCCAGAACCCCAGGCCGCCGCCTCCCCCGTCGTGACCCCGAACGCAGGCGCGCGCGGAAAGCCCCACCCCCCTTCCCCCGTGAGCGAGATACAACGCGGGGCAGCAACAGCCCCAACAGCAAGGCTCCAAGAACACCCGCCCCCCAAAAAGAGGGCCGCCGGGAAAAAGAACACCGACAGAGACAACAACAACAACAGCAGCAGCAACAACAACAACGACGACGACAGCAACAACAACAACGGACCACGCCCCCCCTCCCCCACGCGAAAGAGGCCGGGCGGGGCACCCCCAGCGTTTCCCCCTGCGGCCTCGGGTGCCCCGGAGCGACAGGAGCCCATAACGCCGAACGTCCCCAGCGAGCGGCCCCCACTATCCAAGGAGGCCCTACAAAATATCAGCGTGACAACCATCCCCACCAAAAACCGCTTCGCAGGCATGACCGACGACTGCGAGGGCGGAGACGGCGATCAACTTGACGGGACCGTGACCGCCACCCCCGCAACAATCGACCCGGCCGTGCGCCGACGCGGCAAAAACAGCAAACAGCAACGCCCCAAAGCAACTCAGAAACCACCCGCGCGGCCAACCATCCGACCAGGTGAGAGGATCACCGTCCTCGTCCGACCCACCGGGACTAAGGGTCAGTTTAACGCGACAAACAAACTAAAAATCGCGAGGGCTTTAACACTGGCTACCAACGGAAGGGCCCTCGCGACTCGCGTAAATACGCGACGCAACGTGGCCGCTGTCGACCTCGACTCCCCGGAAGCGATCGACATCATGCTCGGAGTGAAAGTCCTGCACAACATCGCAGTGACAACCTACCTGAGCAAACCGACGGCCCAGAGCAGAGGTATTGTCCGCCCCCGTTTCGAGGCGGAGACGGCCGAGGTGGTCGAAGGTATATCCTCGGCTGTCCCAATCCAGCGCACCGACGTCTTTGCGGGGGGGCGCACCATCAGACTCCACTTCGACGGCCCCCGCCCGCACCACGTCGATCTCTGGGGTCTTCGCCTCCCCGTCACGGCGGCGCATCCCCGCCCCATCCAGTGCGGCGCTTGCGGCAGACTGGGACACACCCGAAGAGCCTGCCGAGAGAAGAACCGGTGCCCGTACTGCTGCGGCGCCCACCCCAAGAACATCTGCCGCAGGGACACAACAAGGTGCCCAAACTGCGACGGCGACCATGATGCTTTCGATCGGAGCTGCGTCGCCTATGAGCGAGCCCGGGAGTGGGCGCGGGCCGCCGAAGCGAGGAGGCAGGCCGGCGGGCTCCACGGGGCGCGGGGCCCCCGCCGGTGGACTGGGAACACCGCAGAGGGGGATACGCGACGCGGTGAGCCCAACGCGATGCTGGAGCTGGACGATGACTTTCCCCGGCTGGACGCCCCGGGCGGCGGCGGAACATCGGCAGACACCCGTCCTCTGCACCGACCCGCGTGGGGACAGGCACAACAGCAACAGGCCCCCTCTCGCGCCGACCAAGCGCGCCGGGAAGAAACGCACCAAGGGCAGGCGTCGCGGTTGCCAGATGTTGGGTTGCCGCGCCAACGAACCCCCTCCCACGACGGGGCAGCGAGCTGCGCCGTCACCACCACCGCTGCGCCGGACGGGAGGGAATTCCCCCGCGCACTGCGGGGAAACAAACCAGGCGCTTTTCCGCAGGGGCAAAGTGCTCTTCGGGGAGACCACGGCGTTTTCTCGCAGGGGCACGGCGCCCAGCGCGGGGGCAAGCTCCCTGCTCTCCCGAGCGCGCTGCCTCCCCAAGAAGATCACCTGCCCGCCGGCCCGCAGGGCGGCGACTCTGAACTCCGGGTCCTCCTGGAACAACTGACCCGGATTATCGCCGCCCTCGCGCAACATCTGCCACAGCGGTCTCTAAACGGGCTACACCGCGCCTGCTCTGCCATCCTCGCAGACGTCGCACCGAACTCCCATCTCCACACCAACAATGGGGGACAACATTGACGATCCAGGGCCCCCCCACAGAGCGTCCGTTTGCGCCGTGCTGCAGTGGAATTGTAACGGCCTCGGTCGGCGCCTACAAGAGCTTCGCTCGCACCTTAGGGACAAAAAGAACCCCTATGAGGCTCTGGCCCTCCAAGAGCCTAGGTGCACAGCCGCCCGAGTGTCCGGTTACGTTCCATACTGCAGCACGCCCGCTCGCGTGGGCGACAATCCTAGAGCAATGTTGCTCGTCCGCAGGGGTCTCACGCAGAACAGGCTCGACCTCCCCGACATCCGAGGCCCAGCGGAAATGGTGGCGGTTACGCTGCAGCTCGCGGACGGACCTCTCCATATTGTTTCCGTTTACGTCCCCGGCAACGCCACCTGGGACACCCTTGACCTCTGTGCCCTCCGTGCTCGAGTGGGGCGTGACCGTGCTATCATCTGCGGGGACTTCAACGCCCACTCCGAAGCATGGGGGGACCGCAAAACGAATTCCCGAGGCAAGCGGCTACAGGAAACGCTAGAGAGAGTGGACCTCCTGAACATCACGGGGGGCTTCCCCACCTACGTCGGCCCCGGTGCGGGGGGCAGCGTGATAGATCTGACCCTCGTCACACCGGGCCTGCGACTCTCTGCGCGCCCTCTCCCAGACAGCTGGGGCAGTGACCACCTCCCCATCGTGGTGGGCACCCCCAAGAAGGCCCCAATGAAGGTATGCAAAATCACCGACTGGGACCACTACCGGGCACTGATCGCCGAGGGGGCGGCGGCCGGATTGCCCTTCACCTCCCAGCTTATCGAGGACGCCGTGCGAGCAGCGACGAGGACCGTCCAGGTGCCCAGCACCCGCCCCAACCCCGACCTCCTGTGGCTCAAACTCCGCGCCCGCAGAAGGCAGGCCCAGCGCCGCTCATGGCGAACCAGCCACCCTGAAGACATCCTAGCGTACAAGCGTCTCGACGCGGACTTCAGGCGCCATGGGCGACGACTAGCCAGGAGACAGTGGCGTCTCCTGTGCGCCTCCTTCGGGGCCCCAGGAGGGGGAAAACGTGCGTGGAAAATGGTGCGGACGTTGGGCGGCCTCCCGGTCCCGCGCAGCCCCGTGCTCTGCTTGGCAGCACACCTACATCTGTCCCCGACCGAGATGGCGAATTTCCTGGCGGACTCGCTCTTCACGGCCCCCACCCCCCCTCCCCCGGGCACGCCACCTCCCATGTGGTGGATGTTTGAGGCCCCGACGGCCCCCGCCATGCGGGCCCCCGACGCGGACTTCAAACTGCACGAGCTGCGGCACGCGCTGCAGTCCGCCCCGCGCCGACGCACAGCACCAGGCCCCGATGGGATCACCGCCCAAGCCCTCCGGAACCTGGACGAGGGGACCCTGCCACAACTCCTGGCCTTCTTCAACAACATCTGGCGAACGGCCAGGCTCCCCAGCGAGTGGAGGGAGGCTGTGGCAGTCCCCATCCCCAAGCAAGGCAAGGACCCCAACAACCCAAGCTCATACAGGCCCATCTCTCTGACGTCATGCCTCGGAAAGACAATGGAGAGAATGGTCCTGCGCCGCCTCAACTACCACCTCGAGGCGGCAGGGGCCTTGCCTGAATGCTTCTCGGGGTTCCGGACCAAGCGCTGCACGGCGGACTCCATCGGGGACCTCGTCAGCTCGCTCGAAGAGGCCAAGGCGAGGGGACACTCCGCGGCACTGGTCCTACTCGACATACGCCAGGCCTTTGATGCGCTGCCACACGCTCCGATCATCGACGCCCTGCGGAGGCTCGGGGTCACCGGGCGGCCGCTGGGATTCGTCCAGGCGTTCCTCGGCGGCCGCACGGTGACCGTCAAGGTGGGCAAGGACAAGAGCTCACCGCGGCACCTCACGCGCGGAGTCCCGCAGGGCAGCGTGATCAGCCCACTCCTCTTCTCGGCCGGGATGTCATCTGTCCCGGCGGCAGCCCGTACGGGGGGCACGGCGCGATACCCCGTCAACGTCGCTGTCTACGCGGACGACGTCGCGTTGTGGGTGACCGGACAGGGCGGCCGAGAAAGATGGAGGGCTGTGGCCGAGCTTCAAAGGGCGCTGGACAACGTCATCTATCATCTCAGGCAGCTCGGACTCACTGTGTCGGGCGGAAAAACTCGGACGCTCATCTACGCCCCGCGTCCGGCCTCATTCCGACCGACACTGCTCATCGAGGGGCAACCGATCATCCACGAGCAGACGGTCACATACCTGGGCCTTGTCCTGGACAGGAGGCTGACGTGGGGGGCGGCGGTGGCGAGCGTAGTCCAAAGAATGCGGCGCCGCATGAACACCCTGCGGTCGCTCGCCGGCAGCACTTGGGGGGCATCCCAGAACATGATGCTCCAACTACATCAGGGACTGGTGCTGTCGGTGGCGCTCTACGCGCTGCCGCTGCTCAGCCTCAACACCTCACAGGCAGCAAACCTCGAGACAGTCCACCGGATCGCACTTAGGATCTGCCTCGGCATATCCAGGTCGGCGGCGTCCATCCCGACGTACACGGAAGCTGGAGCCAACACCGTCAGCAACCATCTCCAAAAGCGCGCACTTGGGCACCTCATCCGCATTTCCACCTGCGAGTCCGCGGCACCGCTGCTGGCACGCATTGCGGAGAGGCCCGAGTCGCGCTTGGGGCAGCTTCTGTGCGTTTTGGGGGACGTCGCAGGCCCTGCACCGGCGATCACTCCCCTCCCACCATTGCACTCCGACCCCCATCCACTGACTGTCCACCTCCGAGTCGACGGGATGGGCCCTCGACGGAGGACGGCCGACGTCGTGGCCAAACAGCTGACGGAGGACCACATCGAGCGGCACCACCCCGGCTGGGCAAGGGTGTACACCGACGGCTCCGTGCGGCCCAGCGACGGCTCGTCGACGGCGGCTGTCTTTGTGGAGAGGGCAGACCTGGGCGTGGGCGAACGGTTCGCCTTCCACACCACCAGCACCACCACGGAGCTGGCGGCGATCCTTCTGGCGCTGCGCCTGATCCACTACAAGAGCCGACGCCCGGACAGCTGGCTGCTGCTCTCCGACTCCCAGGCGGCCCTGTCTCAGCTGTACGGGCTCGAGGGGGCATGCCCCCTCGCTCGGGAGATCGCTGGTGAGGCTCTGCTTCTCGGCGGCCTCGGCCACCGCTTGGCGTTCCAGTGGGTCCCGAGCCACTGCGGGATTCCTGGCAACGAGCGCGCGGACGCCCTGGCGGACCGGGTCCATGACGCCGCCGAGTTCCGGACGTCGGACGTGGGCCCCTTCGCCGACGCCAAGCTTCTTATCGCACGGGAGGCCGCCGCAAACCACCCGGACGAGCGGTACGCGGCCGGGGACCGACCGGCGAAGCCCCCTCGGGGCACGGGCCGTCCAGCCGCCGCAGTCGTCCACAGGATCCGGACGGGGTGCGCCCTGACGCCGGCACGGATGCATCTCCTGCGCAACGAGGCCGACCCGGAATGCCCGACCGGCGGAGAATGGTCGGATCTCGACCACCTCCTCCTGACCTGCCCGGCACACGCTGACGCCCGGGCGGCCATGACAACATCCCTCGCCGCACTGGGGCTGCCCTGCAACACCACAGAACAAATACTGAGACCCAGGGGCGACCGGCGCGGCAAAGACCGCGCGCTCAGGGCCCTACTGACCTTTCTGGAAGAAACCGGGCTCCTGTGGTCCCTCTGAACTTCCTCCTGGCGCCCGCCGACTGCGGAGCGGGGCCCTGACGGCTGTGCTCAGTCGTGCCCTGGACGCTCGCTTTGGCGCGCACCTGCCGCGTGCTCGACGAACGCGCCCGGACTCCGGCGCGGGTGGACTAGAGTGGGACCTCCCACCACACGACGTGGTCGCCCCGGACGATTGCTTGATCGCCGGACACCGCGCCGTGCCAGCCTCCAGCGCTGGACCCCCAACTCCCCCCGCCCCCCCCATCCCCGGCCACCCGGTATTCGATGCAACTAAATTAATCCCCCTCGCGCGTACTCCGACGTGCCCGCCCCCCCCCCCCCTCCCCTTCTACAAATCTATTTCTATCTCCCCCCTCCACCCCCAACCTTTCTCCCCACACCCCCCTCCCCCCGAGAGCCAGTGACCAAGCGCCCGGTGCGCAACCACTATTGGCCCTCTCCTCCCCCCCCCACCATCTTTCACAACGCTTAGAAGAAGAAAGCAGGGGAACGTACGCCGGGGCGCGTGCAACGTCTACTTTCCTGCGCGGCACTTGATCCG